CGGCATGCGGGGGTCGTCCCTGAGCGAACGAAGAACAAACACGGGGGGTCAGCGCCTCACAGTGCGGCGGCGCAGGACGCCGCGCACGGTCGGCATGCGGGGGTCGTCCCTGAGCGAACGAAGAACAAACACGGGGGGTCAGCGCCTCACAGCGCGGCGGCGGCGGCGCAGGACGCCGCGCACGGTCGGCATGCGGGGGTCGTCCCTGAGCGAACGAAGAACAAACACGGGGGGTCAGCGCCTCACAGCGCGGCGGCGGCGGCGCAGGACGCGGCGCACGGTTGGCATGCGCGGGTCGTCCCTGAGCGAACGAACAACAAACACGGGGGGTCAGTGCCTCACAGCGCGGCGGCGCAGGACGCCACGCACGGTCGGCATGCGGGGGTCGTCCCTGAGCCAACGAAGAACAAACACGGGGGGTCAGCGCCTCACAGCGCGGCGGCCGCGGCGGCGCAGGACGCGGCACACGGTCGGCATGCGGGGGTCGTCCCTGAGCGAACGAAGAACAAACACGGGGGGTCAGCGCCTCACAGCGCGGCGGCGGCGGCGGCGCAGGACGCCGCGCACGGTCGGCATGCGGGGGTCGTCCCTGAGCGAACGAACAACAAACACGGGGGGTCAGCGCCTCGCAGTGCGGCGGCAGCAGCGCAGGACCACGTAGAGGTCGTGTTGACAAAGGGAATGGTGGGGGGACCCGGCGTCGGTATGTGATAACCCATTACCTTTACCAATGACAGGTATGCATGCATGCATACATGCCTGCACGTATATAATATATATAAATAAATCAATATAAATATATATATACGCATGTATATATACAGCAGTACATGAACGAGAGATATCTTTAAGGATCTCACAAGTGTTAAAGGGCCAACATGTTACGGAGTAACCGGTAAGCGCCCCCTACCGCCACAACACAATGACAGGGTAAAGACACTTGTCATTAGGACAGATGGCGTCCAGGTACATAAATATACAGGTAACACCGCGAGACAATCACGAAGAACGGGCTTCGCCGTTGAAGCCGACAGCGAAAAACTCTTCCTGTGAAGCTGGGTTTACACTACCGACTTTATGTTAGCAAATTGGCGAATTAGACCCAACTTCCCAAATACACAACCGATAATCAGCGGTGTAAACCCAAAAGTCACACGAGCAACCAATCAATAGCAACTAGTTGGGAGATTAGAACATGTTCTATATTCGCCAACTCGGAGTTGCCGAACTGCAAAATTGGTCCGACTCGCCAATTCGCCAACATAAAGTCGGTAGTGTAAACCCAGCTTAAGCCGCGTAACTACGCCACTAGGACGACGTCGCACCGATCTCTCGACCCGCTGAAACTTAGAGACTCGAGAGCCGCTAGCAACGGGACGTGGGCCGCGAGGCACGAGCCACTCACCAGCCGTCGACTATGCCCTCGTCGACGAACCAGGTGAGCTTTCGCTTCGACAGCACCGTGTTCACCATGTTGAGGCGCGCGTACTCCCAGATGTGAACCTGCGAAGGTAAAGCATCTCCGTTAAGTCGACATCGCTGTTGCTGCCGGGAAGAGAGAGGGTGTGTGAGGGACGCAGTTAATCTATCTCACCGGGGAGAGATCGAGTCGGGCGACTCCAGCCAATAAGAGTTGTAAGGAAACACTCTAAAAACAATGCTTAGTAGCAAAGTGCCACGATGTCAACACCTTGGCCACATACGGGTATGTGTACAAACTGCATGGGCTTGGTCAACCTAGCAACAACAGGTTGCCCTGCTCATGCACGTTATGCCTCATCTAGCACGGATATAGCACATAGTCGAATCCTTAGTACTAACTTGTATCCCCGTATTAACTCCTTTAGGAGGGGGTGGTGAGAAAGAAAGAGGAAGAAAAGTTGCAAGGTAACACAAGGTCGATAATTGTGGACGGCCTCCTTACTAACCTTTGGTATTTGAAGAGCATTGATGAACCAGTAGTATTGATCATCACGATCATGGTATTCGGTGGTTCTCAGCGCATGTGTTACTCCTTCGATCGAATCCACTATAGGGCACGCAAAATCATACGTAGGATACACCCTGAAGAACGAAACCACACCGGTAGATTTGCGTTGCTACGTAGGCAGGTACTTACTAATCGCGAAAATAAAATTAAATTCAACATCGTCAATTCATTTATTCATCTGCACCACACTAGGTGGGAATGATTACGCAATTTTTCCCCGTCAGTTTATGGTACAATTTGGCGCGCACACATGTTGCAGGCGTTCGTGCTCACTGGCACACACGCACGCGTGCACACATACACGCACGCACGCACGCACGCACGCACGCATCCACACGCACTGTATCCTAAATAACTTTGAATGCCACTTCTCCAATGCATACAAGATAAACTTAACTGTCGAATCTCATCTTCTTTCTGTAATTAACAACTGAGGTCACCTTTGGGTCCATCTCTTTTGCAAAATCATTCAGATAACTGGTACTGCTAGCGTTTTAAACTGTGGATGGCTATACACTATGTAAACCCGTGTTAGTGTTCACCTAGACTTCAGAACGACAACCTGTCTATAAAGGACATGGACATGAATATTCCTTCACGTGAAAGCCATACAGAGAAACCACGTCTACAAAACAAGCACCTGTCTATAAAGGACGCTTGTGGATATTTCCTCGCGCTGAAGCCATACAAAGAAACCACCTCTACAGAGCAAGCACCTCTCTATAAAGGACACTTGTGGATGTTCCTTTGCGTGAAAGCCATACAAAGAAACCACCTCTACAGAGCCCGCCACCTGTCTATAAAGGACACTTTTCGCATATCGTCCTAGCGACCCTCGGGTACGCCTTTGACTGCACGCGATTTAAAGGATTTATTGCGATATTATTATGCTCAGAAACGCTCAATCTGACAAAAAAATACGAAATATAGTCTCACCTCACAGCGGATATAGCAGCACTGATTACACTTACTGAGCACACGTTTGAGGGCGCCTTCACAGGTTCTACTGCGCGAACGCGAACTCACTTGTACTGGAGGCCCGTGCGGACGTGCTCCTCGTTCTTGCACCTGTATATCGTCGGGTCTCGCATGGCGCCGTTGTCCGACTGCATGTCGATCTTGGCGCGCACGGCGCATGTCTTCCCGTACGCGGTGCCCTGCTTCATGTCCTCCCACATCTTAACGTTCTTCTCCACACCTGCGGAAAATATCGGACGAACGCGGCTAATGGAGACTACATGGTAGCCCAAATATTACGTGTGTGCGTGCGTGCGTGCGTGTGTGTGTATTATATATATATATACATTTCGCGAAATTATCGCTATTTTGCCGGTGGCCGCCGGTTCAACCCCCTAAACTGCCGGTTCAATTAACCCCCCATATAATCAGTCCACTTGGCCTATTCAAAATTTTGCGTATCTTGCCTTTATATCAACTATATTTCCTGGCTAGTTTTTACTTAGTGACTACTAAGAAGTAAATAATGTTCCAGCAATTCCTGTCAAACAAGTAGAACTCCACTGATAGCAATGAAATACTGAAATACTATGAGTATATGCCTAATACACAGTAAGCTAATACTTTTATTAATAATCAATGGAATAAATTGATCAAAATTAAGGGCCTACTCAATTTGTCTAAGGACGTGTTTAAAATTTTGGGTAATCATGTACACTGCTAGCTCATACGTGCATACAGACAGCATCATGGGGAGCACCCATGTATGATAGACAGATACTCCAGATAAGAAGGGCTGGCTATCACACTGACACCATAGTTGGGCTCATAGGGTCTATGTCCCCCAGGGTACTATCGGAGGGTACCCTGGTAACTATCTGATATGGTTAGGGTTAGGGTTAGGGTTAGGGAGTAGGCGTAGGCGACTCCCTAGACTCGTTAGTGGAGTAGGCGAGGTACGGTCCGGCATATTAGATAGTACCAAGTTAGGGAGTAGGCGTAGGCGACTCCCTAGACTCGTTAGTGGAGTAGGCGAGGTACGGTCCGGCATATTAGATAGTACCAGGGTACGTTCCGATATATCGAACCGTACCCAGGGTACCCTCCGATACGGATAGTACCCTGGGGCCGGGGGACATAGACCCTATCAGCCATAGTTGGTGTAGCTGATGCGGTTATTAGTTTTTGTTTAGTTTGTCAGCGAAATGCCCCGACGGGGGTATAGAGGGTTTATATATTCTCATGCGGGTGACATTTGCTTTTTTGAATTGTGAAAGCTGCTTTGATTCATGCTTGCCATGTATATATCTTACGTAGGACGCTGTAGTTAGTGGAACAAGATGGCGTTGTTTTGAAGTTTTGACATTAATCTACTAATTTTAGGCACAATTATTAGTTTTGCTGTGTATTTGAACATGTTTTCATGGGTAACCACGCTGATACGCGGGTATTTTAACCCAGTATACGCTTATGAAGTTAAGTGTTATAATTAAGTTATATTATAAGGTCATGACGGTTCAAATATTAACATTTTTAAAACAATTTCTAGAAGTTTATAACTAAAAACAGCAGGAAAGCAAATAGCCACGAAGTGAACATGTTTTAGATAAATCGGCGAGTAACTACCAAAAGACAAGAAACTGTGAAGGAGAAACGATGATCAGTCTAGACCAGTGGTTCCAAACCCTTTCACCACCAAGGACCCCTTTTATTTATGCGTAGCCTGGAGGCTAGGCGACCGGTTCCGGACGCGTAGCCTGGAGGCTAGGCGACCGGTTCCGGGTGCGTAGCCTGGAGGCTAGGCGACCGGTTCCGGACGCGTAGCCAGTAGCCACTGCGTTTATTTAAATTAATTTTCCCATGGACCCCAGATTTTGTTTAGGTCTGTCTACTCAACAAGCTCGTTTTATCACTAACAACACCAGGGCCAGACACAGGAAATGGGGCAGCAGGCTTTAATATTTATGGCTCATGGAATGTTTTCTTGATCGAAGCAGCCGTTACTCTATTTAATAGCTAAAACATATCTACCCCGCACAACCATGCAATGTTGCCATACTGAGTTGATAATAT